GCTGCAGCTAGCTCAGGCCCCCATTGCCCCTGGACTACCTCAGCACCCTCCTGACTTGTTCCCAGCACTTCTTGAACCCCTGTAGTTTGTAATGTACTGGAGAGCCAGAGCGAGATCTTAAAACACAGAACTGGTCGTGGCACCAGACACCTTCCCCCATTCCCTTTCCGTCCTTCAGAGGATTCTCATTGTTCTTCCAGGCTCTAAAACAGAGCTTATATAGGCCCTTCATGAACTATCTCTTTCCTTTTTGCCTTACTCTAGTTCTCTTCCCCACTTCGCTCCGATGGATTAGTTCCTCTGGCCACACAAAACTCCTTATCAAATGGACCAGGTATAGTTCTGCGTATCCTAGAGTACCAGATTTCAGTTTCAGGCCAGCCTGCAGAATATTCAGACAAGCTAATCATATCCTTCCATCTGCCTCTACTGTGTCTTCAACCTTATGGAGCCTTGTTTAGTTCCTGAATTGGACCAAGTTTCTTAGAGGCTCAGATGTCAGTTACATTGTTTTCTTTCTGCCTGAAGTACTACATTTTAGTTGAAAACATCCTTCTTGTCCTTCATGTGTTACTCCAGGTGTAGGCTGGGGTTTCTTGTGGTACTCCGAAGGTGTCTCTTTACTGGTCTCTCTCTTCTACCAGGCTGTAATCCTTGTGACAGGGCCCATCTGGGTCAGTGTTCTGCCCTCAGGACCTTGTGTGGCACCAGGCTGTTAGTAGAGAGTGTGTTGGTTGAATGCATAAATGAAGCTTGGCCGCTTCATGGGCACCCCAGATAAACATATATAGATCAAGTTATTGAATGCCCTGCTTTTCAGAACGAGTTTTCAACTCCCCTCTACCCTCCAAGCCATGTAACAATTTCTTTGGCCTAGGAACGTTGTTCTGTTGTTGCCTTCAGTCCAGGACCAAAGCGGTGGTAAATGGGAAGTATTGTTCAGAGTTTTTCTTTGGCACTGATTTTGGGTACAGGATGTCTGGATATTGGTGAGTGTGGCTGCTTTGAGTTTGAATTAATTGAGGGCCACTGGCATGAGAGAAAATCTGCTAACAGCTGCCGCAGTCTTTATGGGAGGAAGGCCGGCTCCAAACTCTTACATGCTGATAGGGCAAATGACACAATGGAAGGAGATGGTGGGCCATGCTGGCCAGGGCAGCCCTAGTGGGAGGGCTCCAAAAGGAAGTTATTTTTCCAGCTTGGGCCAGATCTGTAATAGGGAACAACATATCTGGATGCCAGAACCCAGTGCCCTGAATCAGATGTGAAGGTGTGCAATTCTGGGGGCAGTTTAGCTCGTTGTGACAGAGTAAGGGAGGGACAGATAAGATAGGCTCTTATCTGGATTCTGGATTCAGCCTCGGATGAAAGATGAGTATGTATCTTGGCATGTATGGCAAGATGAGTATGTATCATAGAGGGAGGGAAAGAGAACAGTTTGTGACTGTGTCTGAGAGGCTGCTGACTAAGGTGGGAGGAAGAATCACTGATGTGGCTGGAAGAATCCCCAGATGACTTGTGAAGGGGGCCTGGAAGGGAGAGGGAGGACAGATTAATGAACAGTGGGAGCAAAGACTCCGGGCCTGGAACAGGCTGCTGTTCCCAGCAGCCTGTTACACGTACCAGCCCTGTTACACTCCAGGCACTGCAAAAGACCCACCACTGAGCATGGCCTGGCACTCTCCTCCCAGGACTGAGGCTCCTCCTTGTGAGGGATGTCTCAAATATGGTTTGGGCTCTGAAGTTGCTTTCAGAAGTCTCTCCTTTGGATTTTTCCCCCCCAAAAAAATCCCTTTTTAAAAATAATTTTGCCTTTATTATTTCTCTATTATATTTATATTATATATATATATACATATATATATATACATATAAAATAATTTGTGGTCTTTATAATTTCTCAGAGAAGGCAGTGAGCCTGGGAACTGCTGGGGCTTATCTACCAGGCTGTTTGCTCATGGTCTTGAACTAAGTCATTGGAGTATGGGTGATGCAACATGTTCTTCAGGCAAAAGGGAGTTGCTTATGTTTCTTTTGGAATGTGGCAGTTTAATTTGTTAGGTGACAGATTCCCTGTTTTTGTTGTAGCACTTGGAGGGAGAGTTTCTCCTCCGTGTTTGTAGATTGGGTGTAGACTGGGCTTTTCTTGTGTTCTGTTAGAAATCTGCTACAGTGAACCAAGATGGGCATGTTCAAAACCAGTGGTTCTTGGCCTTTCTTCTGCTTCTCTTGAAGAAGGGATAATGTGGACCCATAGTTATTATATTACTTATCACTTGGTTGCTTTTTGGTGTTATTTAAGTAGAACCTGTCCTTCCTTTCACACACACACACACAATTTGATACATGAAGACTCCAACCATATGGTTATAGGAATTATATGTTTTAACCTATATATGGTTTTAGGTGCTATGGGTTCATTGATCACCCAACTGTCTGACAGAGATCTCCCATAAAAAAGACTTTATGCTCTTTATGCTCAGTTACATTGATATCAAAACTTGGCAGCATAAAGGCGGGAATCCTCCCAGCCATTAAGGACCATGGCACACAGGCTGAGAACCACCAGCCTTTTTGCCAAGCACTGTGCCTGATGCTGGGAATGTGGATTCAGTCCTTGCCCTCATAGAGCTCAGTCCAACAAGGAGCACCTACAGGTAATCAGGCAGTTTTCAGGGTCTCATTCACAACAGTTGTCAGACAGGACCCTTCTGAAGGGAGGCACTGGGAAGCATATGGGAAGAATGCCGAAGCCAGACTCGGAATTGAAGAAGGCTTGCTGGAGAAAGACATGTCTACTGTGCATGAGTCTACGGGGTTTGGGAGGAACTGGCTTCTCTCTCTGGTCTCTCCTGTCCCAGAACTTCCAGACAGGTGGTTAGACCAGGCTGTTCTGTGCTGGCCTGGACAGTCACTGCGAGGAGTAACTTGAGACCTTGTTTTTTCAGGTACCAGGTACAGTGGCAGTGGCCTTGTCTGGGTCTGGACAGTTTTATTTGATAAAACTGGAAATGTAGTTTCTGTTCCTGAATTATTTTCTAGAGATGAGAATTAAATGAAAGCCCCCTTTTTTATTCTATCCATACATATTGGAACAAAATTATGGGGGGTAAATTACATTAAATACATATTTGTAAAGAAAACATGTTTTTAGTAGAAACTTTAGAATTCATAGAAAAGTAAGTAGAAAAATTGGAATCACATCTCATAATTCAGAAAATAATATTTAACAGTTTTTAGTCATTGTTTTATGTATGAAATATGCATATACTTTTTGCTTTCAAAATTATTCTTTTCAGACTTCAGCAGTCTGCTCTTTTTTATTTAAAGTATATTAAAAATCTTTTCTTATTGTTAAGTTTGACATTGCATTATGATGTCTCTATACAGTAGTAAGATTAGATGCTGCTTTTTGGCCTTCTGGAAGTTATATCCCAGTGATGGTTGTTCCGTTAGGGAGGGGACTGTTGGAGGGGATACTGCTGATAGGCAAAATGGGTTTGGGAAACATTCCCGAATGTTGTAGGGATGACATTCTCCCAGAGTCCCACCTTTTGGGATGGGTGCAACACAGCTACTTCTCAGCCACAGGTGCAGGGAGTGGAGGTAGCAGCAGCTTTGGAGTCAGCTCTGTGTGAGGTGGGTGCAAGGGAATGATTCCTACCTTAAGCTTTCTCTTTACTGCTATCCATTTGGGGTGGTGGCTATAGTCGGCCCATTAGAAATCACTGGCCTTGTTACTAGCAGAATCTGCACTACCTTTTGGGAGGTGAATGTGTAGTCTTTGTGTTGGTGGGAGGTCTCTTGGCTGTCCTTCACCTTCCTTTTTGAGGTCAGTCTGTAAGTCTCCAGAAGGATGGGAATTTCAGTTTAACACAGAGTTAGTTGAGGCCTGCTTGAGCCTTGGTGGAGAATCCTGGGAATAAAGCACTCCTGCCCTCAGGAGCTTGTAGGGGCGCTGACTATGTCTTATTGACCATAGTTCCAGTTCTCTCCAAACTCCATGGGTACTTGATGGCCTCCTAATGTCTATGTAATTCTTCTTTCGAGAATTTTCCACAGTGGTTGGACTGCGTGTGTTGCAGTCCTGGGAGATGAATGAGGCAGGGTTTAATAGTCTTTGCTCTATGTCCCTAAGTGCAGGCCTTCATGTGACCTACCTCATCGTATGACCTGCCTCATCGCTTACCTTAATGATCACATTCCTACTCCGGTCTTGCTCCACTAATTACCTTCCCCCCACTGTGCCGCTGGATGAGCCATTCTGAAACCTAGCTCTGTCTGCTCTCCCACTCATAAATCCTCTGTGGCTCCGCATTCATCCTCCAGCCTCCTTGGCCTAGCATGTGAAGCCATATCCCATATGGCCTGGTCAGTCTATGTGCCCTTTGTCCACTGCTCTGCCTGATTCATACCCTCCACGCTCCTCCCAACTGAACCACTTGGAGTTTCTTTCCCACTTGTCTGACCTGCTTCTCGCTCACACCATTGCCTTAGTCCTTCAGTCCCCGCACGTCCAGTGTGTACTCATCTGTCCAGGCCCGAAAGTATCCCCAGGTCCATCAGCCTTCCCTGATCTTTCCCTCACCCAGAGGAAATTTCTTCCTCTAAACTTTCAGTTTTATTTTTCTTTAGGACACCTCACTTTGTGCCTTTTTTAGTGTTCTCCATTAGAAACATTTTACCAAATTGTAAGCTTCTTATAGGCAGGAATAATCTTCAGATCCCTTTAAGCTCTCCTGAGTTGCTTGGCATTCTGATGGAACTTTAGGAAATGTCATGGAGCCCTCCCACCCCCTACTTGAATGCTGGGGACTTGGAGTGCCCAAGGTCATCCCACAGTCTAGTGGCATAGCTGGCCTAGGGCCCAGTTGGACGTGTTCTCTTTTGTCTTGTTCCATTCACTGAGTTCCTTCCCCAGAAGCACACTGTGTCACGTTTTTGAAAGAACCTTAGCTCTGGTGTTTTCACACGGACCTTCTGTGTTCCCCACCTCCCAGGTACTGGTGACCATGAGATCTCTGCGGCTGCTCAGAACCCCCTTCCTGTGCGGCCTGCTCTGGGCCTTTTGTGCTCCAGGTTCCAGGGCTGAGGAACCTGGGGCCAGCTTCTCCCATCCTGGCAGCATGGGCCTGGATAAGCATACAGTGCACAACCAAGAGTACGTATTTAGCCAGGGCTGGGGTCCCAGGGCCTCCCCTCTGCAGCAGCAGCCTGTACCCAGCTGCGATGGCTCCCTCTATCCACACTTCCCTCTGTTATTTGTACAACTCCTTGACATTTTTCAAGAACGATGCTCCATAGAACTCCATAGAACAATAGCCATCTGTAAATCAGGCAGTTTTTTTCCACCATTGTTTCACAGGTGGAGGATCTTGAGGCCCAGATGGGATAAACGACTTGTCTGAATTTATTCTGTCTCTCTCTCACCACAGACAGATATACAGACAACCCCCCAACACACACATGCACATTCACACTCGCGTGTGCACACACATTCTCACACAAGTACACACAAGTAGTAGTGGCAGAACCCAGGACAGAACTAAGGTTTCTTGACTGACCAGACATTTTTCTTTTTTCATTGGCACATTTAAATATTGAATTATTTGTTGCAACTTTTGTCCTGGGCCCATTAGCCTCATACATTATTTGTTATCCTTAAATTGGCTCAAAACCATTTTTTTAATTGCTAGCCCTCAAAGTGTTAATGCAGCATTATAACAATAAAGTAGGAAAAACACCTGTAATCTTGCCAGCTTGACGGGGAAACTGTTTGACTTTTTCCCTGCTCCTTTCATGGCCTTGCCTGTGTCTATCGTCCTTGAGTGTTCTGCCACTCTTTTTATTTGTTTTTCTGGGAATGGTGAGCTTTAGGATCTTGAACTTTTCAGTCCTTAAGGTTTTGGCATGATCCCAGGGTTGTTTCCAAGTGGTCTGAGTCTAACTGTTGGTTTTTAGGCATATCATGGAGCATCTAGAAGGTGTCATCAACAAACCAGAAGCAGAGATGTCCCCGCAAGAACTGCAGCTCCATTATTTCAAAATGCATGATTATGACGGCAATAATTTGCTTGATGGCCTAGAACTCTCCACAGCCATCACTCACGTCCATAAGGAGGTAGGTCAGCTGTGACTCAGCGGACAGCGTCTTGGAAAGCCTCTCTCCCCTCCCCCCCCGCCCTGGCAGTTCAGTCCCCAGTCTTGATGGCCTGTGCTGTCCTTGTACAACAGTATTGCTGCATCTCCTTTTTCTGCTCACCACTCCATTCTGCCTCTTCCTGTTCGGAGCCCCTTCGTGCAAAGGGTGACCTACAGAGGCAGAAGCCCCAGGGCCTTGTATCTCTGACAAGGGCTACAGGCATTTCTGCTGCACCCCAGAGTTTGAGAACCAGCGCCTGAAAGGCAGACCACATTAAAACGCAGAGGAGGGGAAAAGTTGTTTTATTTGAGAAAGTGGCAAACCAGGGGCCCAAGGGGTCGAGGGACTCAGCAGTAATTGAGGGTTTGTGTGATATTACACAGTTCTCCATACAAAGCCGTTTACAGAGCACTTTCAAGTGGGTTAGAGAGCTCGTTTGATCTTTGCAACAGCCTGTGAGTCGGCAGGGCGGGTACTGTTATTCCCCCAGCTTAGAGGTGGAGGAACTAAAATCAAGACGTTACGTCTCTAGGTCAAGTGTCTGTCCTGCTCTGCCGCACTGCAGTGTATAGAGAGGAGGAGAGGCAGAGCTGGGGATGTGAGTGTGCTCCTGTTGGCTGCCAGGAGAGCAGATTTGGGTTTGCGATGAAGGCAGTGGGGAGCACAAATGGCTCTGTGTGGCAGAATGGCAGTGTCACGGGAAGATCGTTGGCTGAGGGAGGCAGACTGTTGGATGTTGGGAGAGACTCACATCAGGGAGAGAACCTGGGATTCAGCAGTCCTGGCAGGCCAGGCTGTTGGTGGCTGTAGGAGAGCAAAGAGTGCACACAGGAGAGGTGGCAAAGGAAGAGTCCGCCAAGGACGTGAACAGTGTTAGCTTCGCACTCGGCACAGTGCGCCCTGCTGTATCTGCTTCTGGAGCAGGGCCAGGCCCTTCACCTCAAAGATTGTAACAGGTTCTCCTGGTCAGCAGCACCTTCCTCTTCTTGTTCTGACCCCAAGATGCCGTCCAGGACAGACTGCTTGCACTTTTCAAGGGCGTGCTATGCCCAGAGCTGACCCTTGGGAGATCCTGGGTTGTGAGTTTGTGGGTTTGTGGGAATTAGGAAGCTCATAATTCTGTGTAAGCCAGACCTAGGTTTCTACAGCGAATGTGTATTACTTTTGTAATTAGAAAAGAATGAAAAGTAATTATTACAACAAATAAGCAAGGGCCTGCTTTGATTGCATCTTTCTGTTTTGTTTTGTTTAGTTTTGTTTTGTTTTAAAGATTTTATTTATTCATTTGACAGACAGAGATCACTAGTAGGCAGAGAGGCAGGGGGGTGGGGTGGGACGAAAGCAGGCTCCCCGCCGAGCAGAGAGCCCGATGCAGGGCTGGATCCCAGGACCATGAGATCATGACCTGAGCCAAAGGCAGAGGCCTTAGCCCACTGAGCCACCCAGGCACCCCAGCATCTTTCTTTTTAACTGGCAAATAGAAATCTAAATTGGATTGCTGTGAATTGACTCTATCTGATGCATGGTTGTGGATTCTCAGAAGCAGCCACATGCTACACTGAAGGAGCTTTTGGATATGTGAGCACAGACATTTTAGACATTAGCTAAACACTTCAAGTAAAATGTGCGACTCATCATTGTCTAATTTGTATTTTGTAGGAAGGGAATGAACAGGCCCCACCAATGAGTGAAGCTGAACTGATTAACTTAATAGATGGTGTTCTGAGAGACGATGACAAGAACAATGATGGATATATTGACTATGCTGAATTTGCAAAATCACTGCAGTAGGCACTGTTTGGCCATCTAGTTACATGCAAATGTGACCCGTTACAATGTGATCGAACACTTTTGGTAATGCAAAATAACTCATTTCCAACTATTGCTACAGTCTTTTGGTAAAAACCTGTAGCAGTTTATTACACTGGGGTGAGAAAGAGGGATCAAGGGCAATATAAGAGAAATGGACATATGCAGCAGTCCCGTACTGTTCAGTCTCTTACTGGACAAGGGCTTGATTAAAGAATTCTCTTAAAAATATTGGCTAATTGGAGCGTAGTACTCAGGAACTTAACTGTAGAATACTGCTAGTCTCTTGGTTTTCATTCAGGCTACCTGAAAAGTAAGACAAGCTTTGCCAAGTGGACACACTTTTCAGTAACAGTGAAGGAATAGCATAAATGCCAAATGTTTCCCCTGGTGGAACCTGTCTCTTCAGGTAAACGTCGTCAGTATTCTGCAAAGTGTCCCCGTCCCCCATCCACATCCATCTGTCCATCACCGTCAATCCCCCCCCCCCCATGATGACGTGCCCCTGGGCAAGGAGTATTAGGCTATTTTAAAGCCACTGTATAAGAAGGATACCAGATCCTGAGTTCAGCGAGCCTTAGCATCTAAATTCTGTATCTTCTGGCACTTTGGAAGATACACCATTGACCTACATGATTAACATTTTTTAGTTTTTCAATATTTTGTAGAACTACTGCCACATCCTTTCTTTTATGTCTTCTTCAGCTTAGGAGAGACCTTGAAGTTAAACGTGTTTTTTATTCTAATCATTAGCAAATGTTTTAGCTTTCTTAATATTTGTATTTAACCCTTGTTTTGAGGGTTTGTTTTTGAAGTTTAGAAACTATATGGAATACAAGGACTGTATCCCTCCTGCTTGGTGCAGCGGGGGATAAAGCTACTATCTGGTCTTGCCTAAGTGAGGAGTGAGATCACCAAGCACCAATTGCTACAAGCTCTATTTAGAAGGAATGGCGTTTAAATTACCTCTTCTAGCTTAAATATGTGAATTCTTTCAGATCAGGAAAGATTAGAAAAAGAAGCCTAAAAACTCTTAACAGTGCGAATCTCAATAATGGTTGAAAATGAGAAGCAGCAGCAAATTGTAATTTGGTTTATTGGATGTGATAGTGTGCCGGGATGGAAAACCCAAAATGATGGTTGGATGGGGGGAAAAAACTGCATAGGATTTGCTGAAAGACACATAGAGACTTATTTTCTTTATTAAAGTATTCTTATAAGAAAACATATGTATTTGTAAAAATGGTTTCCTGTGTCAAGTATTTGTGCAATCAGAGCTGAATTGTAAACTATTCTTGTAATACCTAGTTATTTTGAAAGATTTATATAATGAATCCTGGATATATGACCAATAAAACTGATGAAACAAAATAAAGAGCAGTTGATTTTGTCCACACAGGGGTCTTCTCCCACATGAAGGTTTTGTTTAATACAGATGTTTACATGTGCCTATCCTATCACAGGCCCTATGACCCTCCTGGCTGTGCCCTGTTCCTTTGGGCTGGGGTAGATTCCCAGTAATCAGTCACTTTCTCCTTTGATGCATTTTTTTCTTTTGAATGAAATCACTTTTTGGACCTTTTTTCCCTGGCCATGTTCAGATTATGATAGCATTGTCTAGCTTAGGAAAATACTGTGTTTTCTCCTGGAGTCTGGCAACGGTTTTTTCTTTGCCAGAAAATTTAATTACGTAGCATTTTTGAAAGTCTCGCAGGCCCAAGCAAAAAGTACAGTCTCCCCCGGCGTTTTGGGAATAACACTTTGTTCTGCCATTTGAAAAGGAAAGAAGGAAAGAAAGAGGGTGGGAGGGAAGAAGGGAGGATAGGAAGGAAGATAGTTAACCATTGCCTTATTTCTCCCTTGCCCCCCAAGATCCTTGGATCTTGCACTGGCCCTTCCTCATCCAGAGCTACCCCTCTGGGTGGATCTAATGAGGGGCTCACAGTTGGAAGAACCTCATACTGTTGGCAGCTAGGAAGGGACTGAGACAGCTGGGGAGGCAGAGAAGCAGATCCTCAGAAGGCAGTCACCCCCATTAAATAGACAAGACAGAGATCTCCTTCCTCCTCCACAGCTAGTTTCTCTGTAGTTATTTCATTCTGGCCTTTGTGGTCCTGTTTAACAAATGTCCCTGGTGGGAGGAGCCTGTGATATTAGAGACACAGAGACCTTCTTCGCATAATCCCTCCCTCTTGACCTCTTCTCTCCTACACAATACCTTGGCCTTCTCTTAGCCTACTTTACGGATTTTTCAGAATGTATCAGGAACAGCTCTGTACTTTCGTTTCCTTATCCCTAAAATGGAGATAAGTCTACCCAAGAGAGGCGGCCTTATATAAGCATAAATTTTGGACTGAGGCAGACCCCGGATAGACTCCTAGGCCTGCTACTCTCCAGCCATGAAGTTAAAATTTAGTTTCATACACACATACACACACACACACACACACACACACACACAATAAGAGAGGTTAAGAGGATTAACAAAGTGAGAGAAAATGTAGAAAGTGTCTAGTAAGTGCCTGACACTGAAGAGTACTAAACACTGAGTCATTCGTCACTCTGGCTGGAGAGCCTGGGCCCCTTCCTCATTGCAGTGGGGGCTAGAGGGGCTGTGAAGGGATTGAGGACTCCTCAGGGGCAGGGGCTGAAAGATCTCTGTTTAGGTTACTCTGCTTAGGTTACTCCATCAGGGATGTCAATCCATTTGTCTGTTGAGGAACTACAGAACATGTTAGGATGTTCTACTATGTGGTGTTAAAATTACATGTTATATCTGTGTGTGCATAAAGTCTTTAACATACTCTTATTTCTTAAGGTAATTAAAGTACTGCGTTTTGAATGATCTGAAGCCTTAGTAAGTATTGCTAAATTGCTCTCCAGAAGAGTTGTACTAATTAATACTTCATCTTTGTTGTAAGTGAAGAACCTATTTCCTTTAGCTAGACCCACAGCATAACAAGCTTCCCTAAACACAGAGGTATGAGACATTAGTACTTTTAATTTTTGGCTAGTCCTGCATTTGTTCATTTGTTGATTCATTCACTGAGTATTTATTGTATATTTGCCATGTAACCTCTCCGGTCTAGATTCTGGATTTTAATTCCTTCTAGGGAGGAGGAAGAAAAAAGCTTTTTGTCATATTCCAGATTACCCTGAAGATGTTGTCATCAGAGGACACAAATATTCTTCCATAGCATCCCCAATAAGAACAAGGGCTAAATCACATTTTTACCTCAAGAGGAAATCCATTTATCAAGGACCCAACCAAGGATCTAACATTTCAACTATGGAATTAGTAGCAGAAACTATGAACGTTATGTCTCAACTTTTGGATGTCAAAACTAACAAAACCCAGGACTTCTCCTTTTGGGAAGATGGAATAGATAGACTTCTCTCTATTTCTGTAATGAAGTACGACAAAACCCTGGGAAATTATATATAAAGCAAACATAAGGACTCTGAAAGGTGGAGAGAACAAGGCAGACTGGTTAGGGACATTGGCATGTGAGCAAATACATGGTGGTGAGTGCTGTCTTGTGTTTGTTTTTTTGTTTTTTGCCAAATATATCCCAGACTTAGAGCTAAGGAAGCTGGCAACCCAGGAATTCCAAAAGGAGTATACATAAAAAAATCCCAACAAAAACCTGCTCTCTAGCCAGGGAATGAAGAAAAGGGCAATCTCACAAGACAAAACTTTCAGACAAAAACTGCTCTATTCCAGCCAAGTGCTACAGGAAAGATGGTGGCCCTGCCAGCAGAGGCCGAGCAGGGAGCCTGGGCTGCCATCCTATCTAGGCTGTAATGAAGTGTTATCCTCCTTCCTGTATCTGAGGCGATGCCAGAGGAGGCCAGGTAGGGAGCTGGGACCTTCATTCCTCCCATTCCCTGGGCAGTAACACAGCCCCTCTCTTGCCCACAGGGTCAGTGGAGCACACATATGGAACCTGGCCCTGGAATCCCACCCCCAACTGGCTGGAGTGAGACTCCCCTCCCCCTTTCCGCTCTGTGTCTGAGGAGGCCTGGTGGAGGGTCAGGACTTTCACCATCCAGTGATAACAACACCACCTCTATCTCTGAGTCAGTAGAGACCCCGTGGGGAATCCAAACTCCTGACCCCCCCCCCCCCCCCCCCAGCAGTAAGGAGATGCTGCTGGCCTCATGTATTGATGGAGGCTGAGTGGGGAGTAGTCTTCTCCCTTCACCTGTCAGGAAGCAGGCAGCATCTGCCCTTCCCCTGCCACAGCGGTGTCATGGAAAATCAGTTAAAACAGGTTTAAATAAGATCCAGTCTCATTATATAATACAAAAATGCCCAAGTGTTGATTGAAAATCGCTTATCATACCAAGAGCCAGGAAGATCTCAAACCGAAGGAGAGAAGATGCCAGCACTCACAGCAGGTGTTAGAATTATCTGATGAGGGTTTGAAAGCAGTCATGACAAAAAATACTTAAACGAACAATTAGGAATGTGAAACCAATGAAAAAACCAAGTCTCAACAAAGAAACAGAAGATATAAAGGGTAGCCAAATGGAAATTTGGGAACTAAAATGTAATAACCATAATAGAAACCTCAACAGCAGAATGGAGGGCATAGAAGAAAGAGCAGTAGACTGGAAGACAGAACAATCTATGCTACCCAATCTGACCAACCCAGAGAAAAGAGCCTCCCCCCCAAAAATAAAAAAATGCATGGACTTCAGGGACCTGTGGGACCACAACAAAAGACTTTATGTTCTTCCTTGTCATCAGCCCCAGAAGAAGAGGAAGGAGGTTGGAGCTGAAGAAGTACTCAGAGAAAAAATGGCTGAAAACTTTGTAGATTTGAGAAAAGACAAGAATCTAGAGATGCATGAGCTGAGCAAACCCCAAGAAGAATAAGCCCAAGGAAACCTACTGAGACTCAGCATAGTCAAACTTCTGAAAACTAAAGACAAAAAAAAAACACAAAAAACTCAAAAGCGGTGAGAGAGAAACAACAGCTTACCTATAAGGGAAAACAGCTTGAATGATGGCATATTTCCCATCAGAACCCATGGGTGCCAGAAAGAAGAGGTTCAGTAATTTTCAAGTACCAAAGGAAAGAATTCTCCATCCAGTATTCTAGATCTTGTGAAAATATCCTTTAAGAATGAAGTGGGGGTGGCACCTTGGTGGCTCAGTGGGTTAAAGCCTCTGCCTTCGGCTCAGGTCATGATCTCAGGACCCTGGGATCGAGCCCCACATCAGGCTCTCTGCTCAGCAGGGAGCCTGCTTTCCCCTCTCTCCTCTCCCTGCCTCTCTGCCTACTTGTGATCCCTCTCTGTCAAATAAATAAAAATAAAATCTTTAAAAAAAAAAAAAAGAATGAAGGGGAAATCAAGATAAATTCTCAAAGGAAAACAAAGAACATTTGTCACCAGCAGACCTGCCCTAATAGAATGGCTAAGGAAGTTTTTTAAACAGAAAGGACACAGTAAAAGAAGGAAGTTTTAGAACATCAGAGACGAAGGAAGATCATGGAAAACAAAAATATGTATACATACAATCAACTTCTCTCAAATTTTGTAAATTGTGCTTAATAGTTAAAGCAAAAATTACAACACAGTCTGATGTTCGAAATTTATGTGATGTGGAGAAGATATTTAAGACAATTATATTGCAAATGGAGGAGGGTAGAATAATAGAAAAGCAAGTTTTCTGTACTTCACTTGAACTAGTAAACTTTATGGAACAGCCAACGTGGAAAACAGTTTGGCAGCTTCTTTAAAAAACTGTGTAGCTACCATATGAATCAGCAGTTGCATTCCTGGGCATTTATGTTTGCACATAACCCCACACTCAGGGGTTCATAGCCGCTTTATGTATAATATCCGCAAATTAGAAACAACCCAGATGTCCTTCGACAGGTGAACTGTTAAACAGGCTGCGGGACATTCGTCCTGTGGGTGCTCCGCCCAGCAACTCAAAGGAGCAAATTGTTGATCATGAGCAACCACCTGGAAGCCTGCAGAGAGTTATGCTGAGTGAGAATTCCTGAAGTGACAAAATCATAGGAACGGATTAAGGAGGAGGTGGGACCAGGTGAGAAGTGGGTGTGGCTATAAAAGGGCAACATGAGACATCCTTGTGGTGAAATGGTCTGTTTTCTTGGCTAAATCAGTGATGATATCCTGGTTAGGATACTGCATTATGGTTTGGGAAGATGCTACCATTGAAGGGTGGGAACTGGGTCAAGGGTGCACAGGAGCTCGTTCTCTCTCTCTCTCTCTCCTTTTTTTTACAACTGCACATGAATTATCTACAATTATCTCAAGATAAAATCTTCAAGAAATAGTATTGAAAGACACGGACTTCTCAACACCACAGTGGCCATTTTGA